CCAGAAAATTCTATATTAAGGGGGGGGGTGGGCGTGGGGGGATTTAAATGTACATACACACAATTTGAAATTATTGTCGCAAGTTTTCTATCTGTCGCGATAATAATAATAATGATAATTATTTAGTTAATCCTTATCCTACTAATTAGTTTTTTCTCCAGGTTTTTTAATCGATACGTTTTTCCAGTGCCATTTTTTTTTTTTAAATTGAAAAATAAACGTATTGAGTACCTGATTATGATAACGATACCTGATAATAATACCTTATTTTTCGAAAAAAAAAAAAAAAAAAATTTATCAAAAGCCGACAATGTTTTTGTTATAATTTTTTAATTTTTTTGTTTTTGTTTTTCATTTTATCGACATTACTCAGCACTTTTCAAGCAAATTTTTTTTTTTTTTTTTTTTTTAAATAAGGGCCTAAACGAAAACAAGTAATAATAATAATAATAATTTTTGGTCGTAATATTAACGAACAACTTTTTTTTTTTTAAAGGGAAAAAAAAAAAAAAAAAAAACTCACTCGATTTTTATCCTTCGAACCCTTATTTAATCCCTTAACGAATTGCTGTTGTTGTGGTTGTCGTTGTTGTTGTTGTTGTTGTTGTTGCTGTTGTTGTCGTTATTGTAAAACTGATTTTAAAACATTAAAACTCGAAAAAAACCGTAAAAAAAAATTTATCATCGTTCACCGTAAACGCGCACAATACACACACATTTATGAGAACACAAACACAAACCGTCGAAACACTTTTTTCCCGAACGTTTTCTTATTTCGTTTTTCGACCTATAAAAAAAAAAAAAAAAGAAAAAAAATTTTTTTTTTCGTCGTACAAACAACAACCGTATACGTTCGACGCGGTTACAAGAGTGAAAAGAAACAAACAAACAAACAAACAAACGAAAAAGAAAAAGGAAGAAAAAAAATGAAGGAAAAAGAAAAAAAAAATAAAGTAAAAAAAAAAAAAAGGAAAATTTTTTTTTTTTTTTTTTTTCCCCCGTACGGTTTTGTTATTTAAACTGAGAAAAGGAATATAAGAGAGAGAGAGAGAGAGAAAGAGAGAGAGTCGGGGCGAGCGTGAATCGGGATGGGTAAAGCCACGCCCCTCTACCACATTTACCAACCAATCAAATTAACGGGGAAGTTAACTGTCAGACCAGATAAAATGATTTTCACCGGGTTATGGGAAAATATATATATGTGTATAAAACGGTAGAGGGGAGAAATGGTAGAGCGGAAAAAGGAAGGGCGAGTAGAGAGATGGGAAGAGGAGAGGGGAGGGGATGGGAGGGGAGAATTTCGAGAGCTGGGCTTTTGTCAAACTAGAAACACGATACTTAATCACAAAAAATAAATGAAAAAAAAAAAAAAACGAAAAAAAAAACTAAATTATTATTATTATTATTATTATTATTTTTCCATTTTCCTATACGTTTTCTTTTTTTCCGGGGAGAAGAGGGGGAGTGGGAGTGGGAGGGAGCAGGAAATGAAATAATAATAATAATAATAATAAATTTGAATTCGAAGCTAAGTAAAAATAATTGATTGGATAAGGATTATCGCAAGCGTCCCCTCGTAAAGTAATTAAAATTATTAATTAAAAATATACAAAACAAACAAACGAACAAACAAACAAACAATGAAACAAACGATTCGAACGTAGAAACCTTGAATTAAATAAAAAAAAAAAAAAAAAACGAAATCGAAAATGAAAAAAAAAAAAAAAAAAAATATAAACGAATCCATCCGGAAGTTCGGATCGATAAATTCTCAATGGGGGGCGGGGGCGGGGGCGGGGGATACGACGACACTTAAAAGTCTTCATTTTATTTTTTTTTGTTCCCTATTATTATTATTATTATTATTTTGTTTAAAGAAATAAAAATTAAAAACAAACAAACAGAAACAAACAATTTAAAAAACAAAAAAAAAAAAAACTTTAAAAAAGATTTAGATATCTCGTTTGTTCGTATTGTAAACTTTCTATTTTTAAAATCCTTAATACGGTACTAAAAATTCATTAAAAAATTTGAATGTAGAGATAATAAAGGTATGAAAAAGGGTCAAAGGGTATTTATAGATGAAAATTTGTCGTTCGATCAATGCGAAAATAAAAAAAGGTACGGGAAGAAGACGAAAAACGGGGAATAAAATTCTGGAAATAGGTTCGAATGAATGAATGAATGAGGAAAAAAAAAAGGGAAAAAAAGGAAGAATCTGGAAGAGACAGGAAAGAAAACATAAAGCAGAAGCTTTTTTTGTTGTATGTCAATAAAATGACTTGCCTGGAAAATGTAGCTTTGTATCCATGGTAACGTTGATTGAAGGCCCTAAAAACTCCTTCCATCTGTTTGATACCTGATACCGTGCTTTTCCACTTCTTATTCTTCTTATTCTCCATCATCATCATCATCATCATTATTATCATCATTATTATCATCATCTTTTTCTTCCTTGTTTTCTCGTATAAAATAAATCTGGAAAATTCTTGGATTGAAAATTTTTACTAACAATTCAAAATTTGTCTCCCTTTCTCTTCCACGCATTAAAATTCATTGTTTTATCATCATAAGCTAAAATTTTAACTAAAAAAAAATTAAATTAAAGGGGTGCCAACTTAATAATAAAAAAAAAAAAAAATTGACTACTTGGCGGTTGTGTGTGGATTTACATTACCGAAAAAAAAAAAAATAAAAAAAATAAAAAAATAAAAAAGAAAATTTGATATTGCTGAGAATGTAAATCGTGATGATGATGATGATGATGATGATGATGATGATGATGATGATAATGATGATTATGAACCGAATAACCGTCTCCGTCGTTCAAGCATCGGGTATTTGATACTACTACGAATAGTTTTTTTTTTTTTTTTTAACGGTTTTTATTTAACGTAGATTCGTTATAATTAACGCAATACGTAGCAGACGACGTTTGATAGTATTTATTCAATTTTCTGTTGCGGTTTCTTTTAATTGTTCGATAAAAATTTTGGGGGGTTTTTTCTCTCTTTTTAACCCGATAATATACCGATCGGAATCGTGTAATTTGATTTTCCCCAAAAAGGAAACGGCGGAAACGGAAACGAGAATTTTAATGATATGATTGAACTAATCGAAATTTAATTAATTACGCGGGGGGGGGGGTGGGAAAATGATGACGATTTTTTTTTGGAGGGGGGGACATTACTAATTTTCTTCTTCACTTTCGTCAACGAATTTAGCTTTACATAAAACCGCGACGATTTGAATAACCTAAAAATTTAAGGATGAACGCGATCCGACGGAATTTTATTAGCTATATTTAGCTTACGATAAGTTTTTCCCTTTTTCCCCATTTTTTCTTTTTTTCTTTTTTCTTATCGAAATAATCATCGACATGTCCCCTTTCGCGTCGTGTCATTAGAATATTTCAAACGTGTCACGAATTCATTTTTCATTTAAAAATTTTCTCGGTAATAAATTCGGTTTTACCTGGAAAGGAAACGACGATTTAATATCATCAATGAATTCAATAAAAAAAATATTAATAATAATAATAATAATAAAAATTACCCACATTTATTACCTAATAAGTTTTTCTTTTTTCTTTTTTTTTTTTTTTTACCTAATTTGCATGGCAAATTATCTACATAATGATAATAATAATAATAATAATAATAATTACAGAAGAAAAAAAAATCATTTCGTGCACAATTTTTAACATATCGTACAACATCCCACGAAAAACATACATTAAATATTATTATTATTATTATTATTATTATTATTATTTTCACACGTTGCCTTTTACTCTTCCATATATATATATATATATATATATATATATATATATATATATATATATATATATATATATATAAATATTTAAATAATAAGGTTAAACATCGTCCTATTTACAAAATCTCATACGAATTTTATAAAAACGAAAACTCTTCATCTACTTCCGCAATATTACTATTTTCTTTTAAATATTCAAACCGGAAACCGGAAACAACAACAATCATATAGACTAAAACAGAAAATAATTTAAAAATAATAATAATAATAATAACTTTTGACATTTTAACAACAAATATAAAGAAAATAAAAAAAAAAAAAAAAAAAAAAACAACTCATTTCTCATATAGTAATAATAATAATAATAATAATAATAATTACACATAAATCCATCATCAACAACATATCTTACTAATTTGTTTATAATAAATGCATTTAATTCGTTTTGAAATGTTTGTTGTTGTTGTTGTTGTTGTTGTGTTGTCTTGTGTAAACCGGAAACGACGTCATAAAAAAATTTTTTTATCGTTTTCCCCCACGATAGATCGATTGGAAAACGATAATTAAAATGACGTCACCGTTCGGAAAAATATACCCTAAACAAACAAAACGAATCGGAATTGATAGATAGATTGATTGATTGATTTCGAATCGAAATTGGCGCCAAAAATAAATAAAAAAAAATCGTTAAATGCGCTTTTTCGCAATTTCTCGAAAATTAGCACTAACTAACAACAACTGACAAAAGTTTATAAAAAATTCGCCATGTTTGATTTTTTTTTTTTTTAAACCGGAATTTTTTCAAGTTGTACTCTTTGACCGTTTTCTAACTTTTCCTTCCTTCCTTCCTTCCTTCCCCGAATTCCTTCCTACTTCCCTGTTAATTTTAAATATGACGAGCGATCTTTCCTCCCTTTTTTTTTTTTGTAAACCTTCCGAGAACACAATCGAATTAAATTTTCCCTTGGATCCGTGTAAAATTTCAATATTAATTTTACGAAAAAGAAAAAAAAACAAAATTTTCCTTTTTTTTTCCTTTCATTTTTTTCCTTTTTTTTTTTTTTCCTTTTTTTCATTATTTTTTTTTTTTTTGTTGTATAGTATAAGTAAATACAGGCAAAAATGCATTAAGTAAAATAAATATTTTTTTTTTTCTCTTTTTTTTTTTTCTTTACAGTAATGGCCGTTCCTTCTTCGACTTTTTTTGGTTTTTTTTTTTTTTATTGCCATAAATGCATCGTGAACGTTTGACCCGCCATCGATTGATTCGCGTTGGGCTGTTGATGAGTAGTCAGATAATTTCCTCCCGTATAATTTGTCATTGATCCGAACAACGGGGTGGATGATGATGATGATGATGATGGAGGAGGTGGTTGCGGCGGCGGAAGAGTTTGTCCAGTTGGACCGGGATTCAAGTTTAATCCCGACATTTGTTGCGCAAGCTAAAAACAAACAAAAATAATAATAATAATAATAATAATTATAAGAACGTTCTGGAGAATTTTACAACGACAGCAAATTCATCACGTTTTGTGTTTTTTTTTAAATAATAAAATTTTCTTTTTGTTTTTTGTTCCATTTGCAAATCTTACCTCTCCTTTATTATTATTATTATTATTAATAATACTACTACTACCACTACCACTACCACTGCCACCAATGGAAAAATCTCCTCCGAGTAAGTCACCATTTTGAGATTGATTTCTTTGTGAACTAGCTGAATAATTAGCATGCTGTGAGAAAGACTAATATTAAATACAAACAAATCAAAATGAAAATAATAATGATAATAATAAACTACGTCCAAAACTACAACAATAATAAAAATGACTAAAAAACAACTAATAATAATGATAATAAAAACAATCAACCCTATCCTCTCTTATAAAACTTCTTGGATTCATTGGTATTAATTAGTGGGAGGAAAAGACATTCGAAAAAAATGTACTCTTCCTCCAGAATCCATTAAAAATGATTACGGACAAACGAACACGATGACAATAATAATAATAATAATTTATCAACGTATATAAAAAAAAAAACGGATTATTATCATTATCAAACGGAAGTAGACGACGACACAAACCGCGGTTTAAACGTTGATAATTAATTTAACGAAACCAAATTCCCCCCCCCCCACTAATTTTCACGATTAAAAGCGGAAATGAACTTGAAAATACTCGAATAATAATAATAATGATAATACCAAAAGAATCCAAGAAGTTTTTTTTTTTTTTTTTCCAAATCGAATTCGAATTCGATTCAATTAAAAAAAAAAACAGGCTCGACTTTAACAAGCGTGCGTAACGAATAAATATTACGTCAAATAAATTCAATACCTGAAACGGAAATTGATTGTTGGGTAACTGATTGCCGTACATGTTGAAAAATGGATTCGAACCGTGAATGGCAGGTTGAGGTGCACTTGTAGCAAAACCTTGATTAACGCCATTCGGATAAGGATTTATCTGTTGGAATGAATTCATTGTTTGCTGGTACAAACCTGAAAGAAAAAGTTAATCGTTGTTATTATTATTATTATTATTATTACTATTATGAGTTTTAAAACCAAATTTATCAACGTACCTGCATTATTGTACATGGTGGCAGCGTTTTGGTTTGGAACATTGCTCGATCCGTACAAAGCCAAAATGGAATCCTTGCTAAGTTTTTTTTCCGTATTGATTGTTGACTGATTGAAAAAACTTTCTTCTTCGGCCGATCGAGTTGTCGTCGTAGTCGTCGTCGTCGTCGTCGTGTTCTCCGTTGTTGTTGTTACTTCTCCCGTCTTACCCGGAGATTGATTTTTGTCATGGTTGGGACTTACACTTGCTGGTGGTGCGCTCAAAAAGTTTGAAAAAACATCATCTGAACTACCGCTTGCGTTCGAAGGAGTGCCAGACACTGGAGAATCTAATTTTAAAATATATATATAAAAATTATTATTATTATCTTAAATTTGATAAAAGCACATTTCGATAAAAAAAAAATTTCATGTATATTTACTTAAGCCCAATAAATCGACAGCCGAACTTTTATTAGTCGATTCATTTTTCGTTCTTAAAGCTTTAGGACTTGAATTTGGTTTGGGTAATGCGGGCGGTACTGCTGCATCAGTTAACTGTTTCCTATTAGCCAAAGGAACAGGTTTGTCTTTTTTTTTCTTTTTTTGCTTTTCAGCTTCTTCCTCTAATTCTTTATCCCAATCGACCTAAAATTCGAAAAAAAAATCCGCACTCGAGCTTACCTCGAAAGACTTTCGACTTATTACATTGATAAAAAAAGAAAATCACCTTAGGTATCGGAGGAGGCACCCATTCTTTAGCTATATATCTTTTATGTTGATATTTAGCTCTAATAAAATGTTCTAAGCTTAAATCGGTTTGCGGTCTCCTCCAAGAATCTGGCAATGTGGCTTCGTACACAGCTCTAGCTTTTGAATTACCCATTTGTTGCAAATTAACAACTTGCTCAGGAGTCCATGAATCCAAATTAACAGATTTCACTTTAGATATGTGAACTCCTAGGTTTCTATGTATTCCAGCACACCTGATACATAAGAACACACCAAGGTTCCACGAAGCCCATCTTGGACCTGAAATTATTGACAAACTTTTATTAATAAAAAACCTTAAACCTTAAAATATTAAATTTTATTTTAATAATCGTTATCATTTACACTATTTAAAAACTATTTAAAAATTAGCATGGTGATGAGTCACAAATCAATAATTACAAAAAAAAATGTGTTATTTTGTGACACACACGCTCACGCACACGCACACACAAACCAATAGTAAAACGATACATAAAAAAAAAAAAAAAAAAAAAAACGAAATTAATATGACATATTGAAATAATAATAATAATAATTAATTACACATGATAATGAATAAGAGATAAATTTTTTTTATTTTTTTTAAGTAAACAAAACCTTGTAATTTTGTAATCAATATGATAAAAAACAGATTTTTTATTTAATTTCACTTGTTTAATAAGTAAATTTAAATAAATAGTAACGGTTATTATTGTACCTTTGGCATCGCAATCGACACAATATTTATTATCTTCATCTCTTAACATTTGCGTTAAAAGTGCTTGACATTTATCCTGAATTTGTTTTTGCCTGTCTTTTTCCGCTTTCGATTCATTTCTCCCTAAAGAACTCATATTAATAATAATAATAATATTATTTAAATTATATTTACAAATATATATATAAATATATATATATTAATTATGTATATATGTAAATAATTCCTTTTATTTTTTTAAAAATTATTTAATTAAATAAAAATAAATCTGACAACCAACCGCCCCAACAAAAAAAAAAAAAAACTGATTTTTGTGTTGTGATTAAAATATGTGTAATTCAATGATGGCTGCCAACTAAAATTTTTTTTTTTTTTTGTACGTATCGATTGGTAATAGAAGGCGGTGGTTGGATTTATTATTACGAATTATTTTTACCGTTAAATAATCGATTAAAACACATTTTTTTTTGTTAACGGTAAAATATCGAATCGAATCGAAATCGAAATCGTTAAATTTAAAACTAAATTTTATCATAAACTTAATTTAAAAAAAAAAAAAAAAAAATTAAAATTAAATTTTTTTTTAATGTCTAAAAATTAAAATAATTGTTTTGTATTAAAATAATAATAATAATAATAATAAAATTCATTTACAATTATACAAATTTTTTTTTATATTTTTTTTAAATTTAAAATATTATTTTAAAAAAACCTTTCAAGTATCATCAAATATATATATATAAAAAAACAAACAAAATGCCGATTAATTATTATTATTATTATTATTATTATTATCATCTATAAAAATGAAAAATACAAATATATATAAATATATAATAAATATACTAAATAACAAAAATTAAATTAAAAATTTTTAAATAGTGCGTTCAACGTAATTTAAAATAGTAATAATAATAATAATAATAATAATTGTAATAATATTAAAATAATAATAATAATAATAATAATATAAAAGATATCCATGAGCCATACTTTCTCTTAAAACAATTTAATAATAATAATAATTTACAATCAGAAAATCAGACGTTATTAATCAATCAATCAATCAATCAGAACGCTTTAAAACATCAATAATAATAATAATAATAATGATAATAATAATAATAAAAATGAAAAAACTTTGTCTGATTTGGCACGTTAAGCATTCAAAATAAATTTTATTAAATGGGTTTTTTAAAATTTACAAAAACAAAAAAATGGTTTATTATTATTATTATTATTACAATTATTATTATTATTATTATACTGTAATTTTTACTGTAAAAATTGTATCAACGTAATTAAAACGACGACAGTTATCATTATCTATATATATATATATATATAAATATTAATATAAACGACCGTTTTACGTTATAAAAATCCGTTTCTCACCCGGAATAAAAAAAAAAAAATTTCATTCATTCGTATTATTATTATTATCATTAGTTTCTTTCAATCGAACCAATCAACAATTTTTTAAATAATATATAATAATAATAATAATAATTAAACAAATATCTGATACTTGTTATCTTTTTTTAAAATAAAAAATAATAATAATAATTTTTAAAAAAAACCGTTACAAATTTTCTTTTTGTTTCTTAATAATAATAATAATAATAATAATAATAATAATAATAATAATAATAATAATAAGATAAATTAGGCGAGAGTGTGTAAAAAAAAATAAATAAAAAAAAAAAAAAAAAATATTACATGTTACAAAATAATAATAATAATAATAATCTAAATATATGTATATAAATAGCATTACAAAAAAAGCTAATAGTGAGCTATCCAAAACAAAAAAAAAAACATGCTTTTATTATTATTATTATTATTATTATTATTGCGTTACGGATAACGAATTACAAAAAAAAAAAAAATAAATAAATTTTGTTATAAATCGGGTGATAATAATAAAAGCATAAAATTTTTTGTTTGTTGTTTGTTTTTGTTTGTTTGTTTGTTGTCTTCTCTTTAAAAAATTTTTTTATAAAAAAAAAAAAAACTAAACTAAACTAACATGATAGTGTATGTACTTAAACTAACTTATTTAACTATATTACGGCTATTTACAATAATTAATATATATTTACGTTTATATCCGTTAAAAAAAAAAAAAAATTACACGTGTGTGTGTGTATGTGTGTGTATATATATATGTATATATGTAATAAAAATTATTTTTCACGTGAAGTCCTTTTCATTCCTTCCCCTCCTCTCCCTCCACGATTTTCTTTGTTTTTCAACATGCAAACAATCTCAATGATGATGATGATGATGATGGCGTTTTCCTTTTATTTCCCCGCAGGTTTTTTTTCAATCGTTTCCTTCGACGGTTTTGTCGTTTCTAAAGTTTTGTCATCTAGTAATGGAGTTTTAGCCACTTCGAAAAATATTCTAGAACAAATAGAAAAAGGTTTAATTAAATCCTTTTTTCTTTTCTTTAAATTCTTTCTTTTCCTTTGACTTTGTCTCCTACTTGTGTGAATATTTATTTTTGATTATTTTTAGTTGTTCTTTTGGTTTTTGATGTAACATGCTGTTAAGGCTCAAAACGATGGGCATGAAATCGGATAGTTTGTAACCGGAATAAAATTCTAGGGTTGGCGTCCATCCCGATATGTTTTTCATTCTTAACGCCATGTATAGGGCAGCGCATGCAATTTTACTTTCCGAATGAAAAATCATGTGATATTCCATGAGGCTGAGTTCTAGTATGTATCTGGCAAGTGTTAATGTTGGCATGCTTGCTTTACAACACCTTGAAAACCTTCTTAAAAATCTACAACGAAAAAAAAAAAAAACAATCATTATGATTTAATGTGTTTTTTTTTGTGAACGCGTTCAGGTACGAGCTATAATCTACCTGTACGATAAGGGTATTCCCAAACTGTAATCTATAACTTTAAACACGTTTAATTCCATTTTAATTAAATCGTCTCTTTCGAATGCATTTTCGCAAATGTAAATAAAATCTTCGATGAGCGGAGGCATTCTCTCCTAAAAAAAAACGTGTAAATAACATTTTTAAAAAGTGTCAAAATGACGTCATTAAAATTATGATAATTAATAATAATCACTTCGTATTTCGATGCCAAAAACAAAGCAGCGGCTCCGACTAATTGTAAATTTTCTTTTGCCACGACGACGTGTGACAAATACAAATCCGTTATTTTAACACCCAAATAAAGGGTTTCGTGATTTAATTCGAAATTTTCTTGTACGTCAACCATCCAGTCTACAAGCAATGATCTCATCCATTTTGTTATGACAGGCTGTGTAAAAAAAAAAATTTCAATCATTAATACCAATCGCAACAAACCTGATTTGTTTTGTTGTGTGATGTGTACCTGCAACGTCATGTAGTCTTTTACGACGAACGCCTTTTCCCTTCTTTTCATATATTCGAATATGTCCATTGCATATTCAGAAACTTGAATCGGATCCAAAATATTTTCCTTGTCAAAATCTTCAACACCTGCAGGTACTTTTGGTGAACCTGTTTCTGTTGTACTTTTTTTATCTTCTACTCTTTTGAAACTTTTCTCATTATTTCTTTTTATAGGTGATATTATTCTTGAGCTTTCATGCGAATCAGGAGTTCTGTAGAAAAAAAATTAAAATTCGAATCATAAATTAAGAGGTTCGAAAATAACCTAATTCGATTCAGAAATGCACACTTATTATTATTATTATGTGTGCCTTGTTTACATATCACTATTAAATAACTTACACATCTTCAAGAGCAGTCGTGTACAAGGACTCCTCACTTTTATCCTGTTGGCCATCTGTACTTCTTTCAGATTTAACACTCACTGTTTTTTCATTTGACACACATTTTTCTTTAGTTTGAACACTTGTGATTTTAAGTTCTGATATTTTCACTTCAGCACTTTCAATATGTGCAAGAACTTTTGTATTTTTTTTCCCAACCGGATCGATATTTTCTTTATTTTGTGCACCTAAAAAATCATAAATCCTTACATGAAACTCAAAAATAAAAATTATCGAGAAAGAAAGAGAGAGAGAGAGAGAGAGAGAGAGAGAGAGAAAGGAATTCAATTACCTGTTTTTACTGTTAAAACTGATTTTGGATCGACATAAACTGCAATTTTTGAATGTACATTAGAAACTAATTTTCCAATTTCTTTCACTTTTAAATTTGTACTCGATGTCAAAATGGGTTTTTTCATAATTGTTTTTTTCGTATCCATGACATTTTGTTTCGATGCAAAATTAGTACTTTCATTCAAAGCTGTTCGCTTTGTCGTTTTCCCTTTCGGTGGAGATAATTGATCTGCTTTTCTCTTTGTCATATCCTTTGTTGTAACCTTTTTCGGAAAGTTAGCTTGACTCCTTGTCAATATTTTACCACATGTTTTTGTCATTATTGTTTTTTGTATCATTTTTGCCTGCTGCTGTTGGTGCTGTTGTTGTTGTTGTTGTGAATCTATTAATACTTTTGTAGGAGCCATTTTTTATTCTATATATATATGTGTGTATATATATATGTATAAAAAAATCTGAAAAATGATTTATGTAAAACAAATTAAATAAAAAAAAATTTAAATAAAATAATAATAATAATTATAGCTAAATAAATGTTGGGAGGGGGGGGGAAATAAAAATTTTTAAATAGACATAAAAATTTAAATGCTATTTAAATCTCTCTCTCACCTGTTAGGACGTGACCTCACATCCACGAGGGATTTCACTCAACAAATGCTATTAATTTTAATTATAAAAAAAAAAAAAATTTATATTTCTACAATTATAATAATAATAATAATAATACGGCGGATAAAAATATTAAATTAATTACATAACGTTATATAAGAATAATAATGATAAAATTATTGCGTTCATCAAGTGCCTTGCAAGCCATTTAAATTTTAACGGCCATTCTCCTCTTTGGGGAATGATGCGTTTTTTTCCCCCAACCGAAATTTTAACGTTATTTTTTTTTACACATAATATCCGTTTGAATTTTTTTTTTTTTACATCGTTAACAATTTACGATGACCTCTTAAATGATATTTTAAAAAAAATTTAATCGAATATAACGTCTTACCTATTTATATATAATTAAAATAATTTCTAATGTAAAATATGATGCACAAAATATTAAAACAAATAACCGTTTAAATTACAATGTTGCCAACTTGCTTGTGAATTTTGAATCGTCGATGCGATGCCGTTTTTTTAGTTTTTTAATTCACTCCAGCGCGACTATCGGATAAATTTATAACTATTTATGTTTACATTTTATCCGATACAATGATGCCTTCCTCGAATCGTTATAAATTATTATTATTATCATTATTTTTGTTTTTAATTTAATTTAATTTAACTTAATTAATAATAATAATAATATTAATTTAAACTGCTACAATTTAACATTAAAACCTACGACGAGTAGTAGGAAGAACTTGAGGTTTGTATCAAATAGTTGAAAAAAAATTATTATTATTTTTTATGCACTTACTTGATGTCTTTTAATTTACATCTTTTTTTCAAAAATCCTGAAACAAAACAAAGAAAAATAAAAATAATAATATTAACCGTAATAATAATAATAATAATAATAATAATAATAATAATAATAATAATAATAATAATAATAATAATAATAATGATAATACTAATCAAATTTCAAATGAGTTTTAAATTCTACACTCTTATTAACTTATAATAAATATATATATATTCTTTTATTAATTTTCTCCAGTAAATTTATTATTATTATTATTATTACAATTTGTTTTTTCTCTTTTTAATTTCGTCAAGTTTTGTAATATGATTCAATTTTTTGTATGTTTAAAAAAAAAAAAAATTTAATCTTAAATATTTTACATATTTTTTTCATGTCTCATTTTTTTTTTTTTATTCATCCATCAAAAAATAAAATTTAATAATAAAAATTTGATTATTATTATTATTAAGTTGAAGAAACTTATATTAAAAAAAATTACTTTAGGTAATTTTTTTAGGTAATAAAACTTTAAAGTAATTTTTTATTTATTTTTATTTTTATTCTCCTTCCTCGTCTTATACATCCTGTTAGAAAAAGAAAGAAAAAAAATTAACGAATTTTTTTTTTTTAAACGTTCCTCTTCTTCAAACACACAAGTTCAAACGCGTTTTTAATATTATTTAAATTTAATAAAAATTCTTTAAATTTCAAAATGGCGTCCGCGAGTTTTTTTTTTTTTTTTTGTAATAAAATTTCAAATTATTTAATTTGTTGTTGTTGTTGTTGTCTGTTGTGTTTTTTAAATAATAATAACAAAAAAAATTTCTCATGTGTAAAGGAACGTTCGCGAACGTTTGTTTGTTTGTTTTTAAACAGTACCCGTATACGTTTTTAAACAGTACCCGTTCCTTCGTTTGTTAATCATATTAAAAATCGATTCAATAATAATAATAATAATAATAAGTTTTTTGCGTTCGATTTTTCGATTGTCGTCATTTTTAGTGGTTGTTGTTGTTGTTGTTGTTTTTGACGTTTGTATCGGTTGATGAACGTATATCAAAATTTTCTTAAAAGTTCTAATCAATCATTTTGCGAACGTTTCAAAGTTTTTTTTTTCTCTCTAAATTTACACGTTCGTTTTCATTTGCACACAACCAATACGCGTCAGGGTAAACCGTTTATTTATTAAAAATAGCAGAAGACGTTAGAATAATATAAACAGGTATATGAAAAAATTCTATGGTCTTTAAATAATTAAATATTATCAAAAGGTATTTAAAAAATGTATAAATGGAGACGATACAATTGATTTTTTTTCCGGTACCTAAAAAACGGTTTTCTTTAAATGATACCTGAATTCTTTAACACAATATTAATTTTTTCGTTTGTATAAAAAGCAAACAACAACAACAACAACCAGGATTTTATCAGAAAACAACAATTAGGTTAAAAATAACAGAAATAATGAATACAATATTTCGATATACCTTAATAACAACAACGAACGGAGAAATTTTTTTTTTTTTTTTTGGAGGGGAGGTGGTATGTAGGGGGAGGGGAGGGTAAGAAAGGGAAAGGGAGGGGAAATCGATATTTTCATTTCCTTCTCATCATTTTTTTTTTTGCTTATATTTTTATTTATTTGCTACAATATCCATATTTGCAAATGGATATCTCCTGGAATCTAACCATCTAACTACGATCGATAAAAGAAAATTTTTTTTCCCCCTCCCTCCCCCCTTTTTTAATAAAAAAATTTTTTTTATTTCGGTTCCCGAATTCATTCGTTATTTTTTACCATAATAATAATAATAATAATAAATTTATTTATTTATTTGACGAGCACCGTTTTTTTTTATTGTTTCGAATCCAACAATAAAATTATTCCATTTCCTTTTCATTTCCGGTTTTCAATAATAATAATAATATTAATTTAATTCGGAAAAGAATTTACAATCGATAAAATATGTATATATCGAACGATCGATCGATCGATCAATCGATTAACCGGATATGTAAAATATCATTTCCGAAATTAGCAAATTTTTTTTTTTTTGACCATTACGTCACAGGAAATCAATTTAAGCGGTGGAGTTATTCGAATGATATAATGACGTAATTTTAAGGTTTCGTTAACTGCCCCCCCCTTCCTTCTCCGCCCCTTCCCCCCTCATTTACATAATACTTTAAACGTCGTATTTATTTATTAATTTTTTCCGATTCGAATTTTATCAATTAAAATAGTTTTTACACGGACAATAAAAAAAAATTAAGGGTTGCAGTATACATAAGCGCAGATTACATAAACGCGGGGATGATGGGGGTGAGGAAACGGGGAGGGAAGAGGAGGGGGAGGGATAAACAAAAAAAAAAATTTCGTTGATAATTTTCCCTTTCGTATTTTTTGGATTTTCCGTTTAGTCTTGCGCTGGTTTTTGACCCGTTCGGTTTTGTTCATTTCAACGTTCGCGTTCTATTTCTACGTCGTTTTTCTCTCTCTTTTTTTTTTTTTTGTTTTTTTTTGTATTCATTCATTTGAGCTCGTTTTTGGTGTTTTCCGGCTTTTGTTCTTACGTTCGAGGGTAAGATTTTTCTTTTACTTTTTCCGTTCAAATTATTAATAATGATAATAATACTAATTAAAATTAAAAAAAAAACGTTTTCGTATTAGAAATGCTACGATTTTGTTATCATTATGTAATTATTTACCTATTATTATTATTATTACGTATTATTATTATCATTATTATTACTATTATTATTATTATTTATTAATTTATCGATTTTTTTTAATGACGTCATAAACTTAATTAAATTTGCGTAAGTAGCAAAAAATTTAAATACATCAAACGTAAGTTTTCGTGACGGAAGTGCAAGAAAGAAAAAAAACTTAATAATAATAATAATAATACTAATTACTTCACGGCAAAATGATAATAATAATAATATGACTAAACGTGATTTTAGAAAAAAAAAAGAAGACAAAATTAAATTCCTTTTTATTTTTTATCTCAATGTAACTTTTTTTTTCCTTTTCTCCTCCCGCCTCTGCCCCCTACCCTCCCCTATTTCTCCAGGCTCTTTTGTGTTCTCTAGAGTTTACTTTGTATTTTATTACGTAATGATAATAATAATAATAATTTCACGGTATGCTATTATGTAAATAAAAAATATTATTATTATTATTATTGTTACATTTTAAAACTTTTTTTTTTTTTTTTACCGTCGGTGATATAAATAAACAAGGTTTGCATAAATATAATAATAATAATAATATTTTATTACGATTCGTTTTTCCCGTTTATTATTATTATTATTATTATTATTATTTTAAAATAAAAATTACGTTAAAAACGTTCGGAAGTGAAAACAAAAGGAAAAAAAAAATTGAACTTTCACCTCTGAAAGGACTCCCTAATCAAAGTCATGAATTATATGGATAAAAAAAAAAGGTTCGAACCTTATTCGATTATTTTTATTGTCGATTGTCATATCGAAAAGTTTTGCTTTTCTAAGTCAAAAACAATTTAAAACAAACAAACAATAACAAACAGAAAAAGAAAATAAGAAAGAGAAGGAAAATAGAAAAAAGAAAGAGAAGGAGAGAGAGAGAGAAGAAAGAAAGAAAAGTTGTCACAAATGACAAAATCCTACTAATGTTAAACTTTCGTTAAAAACTATGACGTAATCACATACGTCATCACCGTATAAACGTTAACAAAAATTATTATTATTATGAATTATCACCTACGTAATTGTTTTTATCGTAATTAAATAATAATAATAATAATTTTTCCGCCGCCATTTTTCGTAATCGATTAATAATAATGATAATGATCGCGATTAAAAATGATTTTTTAATCATTTTCATTTATTCGTAATTAAAAAAAAAAAAAAAAAAAAAAAATTTTCGGATCAGGGGTGCCAACAGAA